GTGTGTGTGTGTGGTGTGTGTGTGTGTGTGTGTTGTGTGTGTGTTGTGTGTGTGTGTGTGTGTGTGTGTGTGTGTGTGTGTTGTGTGTGTGTGTTGTGTGTGTGTGTGTGTGTGTGTGTGTGTGTGTGTGTGTGTGTGGTGTGTGTGTGTGTGTGTGTGTGTGTGTTGTGTGTGTGTGTGTGTGTGTGTGTGTGTGTGTGTGTGTGTGGCATTAGATGTGTTTGTATTTTTGTTTGAACGTGACAAAACATCTGGCAGCTGTTTCCCCGCTGAAGGCTCAAACTGTCACACCTCTGAATACGACTCCAACACTAGCCTGACACACACACACACACACACACACATATACACACACACACACACAGTCAACAGTGTGGATGAATGAGATCTGTCGGTCTCTGCAGGAGGATTTCTAACTTCCTGCAGCAGCTGTGGATCTACTCTCTGCAGACGGCTGCAGTAATGAGGCTCGGTTCATTCTCAAACATCTGTTTTGGATTATCTGATAACAAGCATGACACACCCAAAACACACAGATATGATCCTGAAGGACTTAATGCATGTTCAACTCCTTCACAGCTGCCTGGTCTCCTAGAAAACACATGTATACGAACATAATCTGGAACATTAATACTTGGGAGCCTCAATGAAGTATTAATGAAATGAAGTTCTTATTTCTTGAACAAAACCGGAAAATGTGGGTTTAGTTAATCTGACGGTTGAAAGTTGACCTAGCTGTAAAACTGTTGGTGTCTCTCCTCAGGAATGAATACAAAGTCACATGTTTTGTCTCCTGATGATGGATCACCATTAGCGCACTCTTGCCAATGTTACATTGCTTTTGCACTGGCCATTTACTGCTCACTGTTTCAGCTGACATTTGCAAACATGCGAGCCAAGAATACATTTGACCAAATTGGGGATAAATTGTGGTTGCAGTCCCTACAGTGTAATGCAATACCTCCCCCTAACCCCCCACCCACCACTCTCTCTCTGTTATAACCCATATATGAGTTTAATTTGATATCCAGGAACAGCGGTGAACATGGAGAGTTAACATTTCACGGCACACTGTCTCCACAGGAAAGAATTTTCCACTTACTAATGCAGCCGATCCAAACAGGGTCATTACCGCGTTCAACAGAGCGTTTCATCAGAGACTGGAAAAGAGCTCTGGGCAGCGTTAGCTTCCTGTCAGCTGTTGACATTAGGAAACAGTGCAACGCAAAACAAATTTAGATCCATTTAGACTGTTTATGTTTGAAACTGCGAATTGTTTAGTCGTGTGGTTTACAGCTGTTCATTCCTATCGTGTTCATCTGTTTGCAGCCCACAATTTATTTATTTCTACCCCTGTTCTTGTTTATCTTATTCTATTTACATGTATATACACTCCTGCATTTACTTGGTCACTTTCAACATCTTCTATGACATTTACCTTATTGTATTTTTTTGACATGTATATAATTCCCTTCCCCCGCACTACTTGAACATTGGTCTTGCAACTTAATCTTGCACTATTTCATTCCTACGCACTATTTGTATTGGTTTTTAAATGTGTTGTGTTGGTTTAGGGTCTTATATATATGTATGTTATATTGTTGAAGGAGACTTGGACTGACGTAATATGCAAATAACAATAAAGCCTTTGAATCTTGAATCCTCCTCCGCCATCCAAAGACTTCAAATAACAACTGTGCATATCCTGAATCTGCAGCTGTGTCTGGCTTTGATTTATAATGTGAAATTCTTTCTCGTTCTCCCTTTTTAGATGAGCGGGCCAGCTGTTTGGAGTGTGATGGTTTGGTTGGAGGACTTTGTGACGACTCGTCTTTCTCCGGTACCGTCCGTCGCTCGCTCTCGGCTCCTCACCCGGTCACCCTGGATCCTCTTTCTTCAGTGGCCTCATGTGACTCCCAGTCTAAATACCACTGTGACTTGGTGGCAAAGAATGGCAGCGAAGTTTACCGCTACCCAAGCCCTCTTCACGCTGTGGTTGTCCAGAGCCCCGTCTTTCTACAAATGTTAGGTCCAATCAGAGACGAAGGGCCTGTAAGAAGCGTTGAGGCTGGTGTTGAAGGACTGAAACTGGAGCCTTCCCCTCTTTCTGCTTCTGTTTCAGCTCCTCTTGTATCTCAGAGCTCCTCTTGGCCAGCAACCTTTTCCTCCCAAACTCCTTCCCTTAAGCGCCTGGACAGCTATATCTTCAGTGTGCTGCAGCGGAGGGCCCTTCCCGTCAGGACCAGCAGACCCAGAACCAGCATCAGCACTGACCCGTCAAAGAGCATCCTGAGGCAGGCCAGTCTCTGTGTGAGGCAGGTGTCTGGGTTCGGTTTTGGGACTCTAAGGGGGTCTGAATTCAGGCCCTCCTGGCCGGCTGGAGGCGCCTCAGCGGAAAGCTCGTCTCCTCAGAGGCAGTGGTCTGTGGAAAGTAAACCTGAGGAGCAGGAAACGCCGAATGTTTTCCCTGATGTCAGCGTCGAAACGATGCAAAATGGCTTCAAGATGAACAGTGACCTGGCAGAAAACCAAAACACCTCTACTCATAGTATTTGCATCCAAAATGGCTCTTCTGTCACTCACATTGATACAAGCACTAACAGTCTGCTGAAACAGAAAAGCAAAATACTTCTTCCTCCTTCAGCTGTTTCTACTCTGCCTAAAGACTTCAGGGATCTGAGTATTCCCAAAGCTAACTCCTCTCCCAAAGAAACCCAGCAGCCATGTTACTTTCCCGACCAGGACCTGCTCCTTAAATCACCAGCAGTTATTAAAATTTCTTCAGCTACTCCCAAGAACAGCCCAAAGCCTCTTCAAAACGTCCAGACGGAGAAAGTTGAAAGGTCAGAGGTAGCCTGTCTAGTTCCCTCCTCCCAAAGTCAGGATGAAGCAGAAGGAGAAGGAGGTCACAACGCTAAGTACTTTTCCAGCCAGGGTCAGAATGTCAAGCACCGTAAGAGTAGCAGCAAGAGTGTCAAGAGTGTCAAGGTGAAGACCACCACCACGACGATGAAGACGAGTCGGACCTCTGAACACAATGAGCATAAGTCAGAAAGAAGAGGTGATAAATCCCATCACAGGTCTAAAAAGTACCGGCTGTTGGAAGACGGAGCGTCCATCAACATTAAAGTCTCTAAGAAGGCACCTGGTGGTGGCAGTTCTCATGGGATGAACTCCTCCAGGATCAAACGCCTCCCTGCCTCCATCCCAGAAGGCCGAGTTTTGGACAAACACGACACATCCACTCTTGGCAGTGTGCGGTCAGGTGCATCCAGACATCATGGTCACCACCATCATCATCATCAAGGACGGGACCAGGTTGCGGTGGTTGCCAAACCCAAACACAAACGGAACGATTACCGGCGATTACGTGCGATCATGGAGCTTCAGTACGACGAGGCGTTCAGGCGTGCTCAGCGACGTCAGAGAAAGGAGTTGTTGAACCAATCTGCGGCAAATGTTTACCTCCCCTCTGCTGGACAGGTGAGCAGCCCGTACTCCTATGTGGCGAGAAGTGACTCTGAGTATTCGGCCGAGTGTGCGTCGTTGTTTCACTCCACCATCGTCGACACCAGTGAGGATGAGAGGTCCAACTACACCACAAACCGCTTTGGAGACAGTGAGTCCAGTGAAGAGGAATACATCGAGGAGAGCACCACCACGAGTGACACTGAGGAGAGTGGAGGAGGTGGTGCAGGGGGAATGGGAAGAGGGAGGAACCAGTTAGGGGCAACTGGGGCCAGGGTGGCGGGGCAGGAAATGACTCCAGCTCAGGCAAAGGCCTTCGTCAAGATCAAAGCTTCTCGAAACCTGAAGAAGAAGATCTTGAGGTTCAGGTCGGGTTCTCTCAAACTCATGACCACCGTTTGAGTCAGCAGCTGTTCACAACCACACCCATGTGACAATTCCCGGAAAGGCTAAACAAATACAAATTAAAGTGGTATAAACAAACAATAATAGTACAACTAAAAAACTCGGGCTAAATTGAATTTCAGCTCCTACTTCTAGCATACTTCAACCAGACCTGATGGAAAAGCAGACTGTGGATGGACAAGTGCTGCATTTACAAAATGGAAAAACACTTTTCTATAATTACATTTGAACTATCGCCAAGCCTCTTTTGCCTGAGGGACAGCGCCAAACTAGTAATTAATATTTGTAAAAACTTGTGTGACCTTTTGTTTACGTCAACAAACATGAAAACGAAAAGTGCTTTTTCCTTAATTAGCTCATATCCTGTTTAGCTTTTAAGAAGGTACATTGGATTCCTTCTAACACAGCCTTTACTGTTAACCAGTCGAGTCCATCTGAACAACCCAGTATTGTGGTAATCACAGGTGAAAGATACGTTTCCTCTATTGCCATTTCTTCTTGTGTTCTTCGGTATGATTCCTAAATGCAAAAAGGGAACAAGGAGGGATGATTTGGTGTATCCTTTAGTTTGTCAGTAACCTTGCAAAAGTTACATAAGCTACTTGATCTGCAACCATATGGCCTTATTAACTTCCTGTGTCTAAATTTACCATCATGCAGATCATGTGGGGTTTCAGTTACCCACCCCTCATACCACAGCACTGGGTTGTTCACATAGTCTGTAGGTAAACACAAATAACACCAAACATCTGAGGGCGCTAAGGAGTGTGAACTTATAAGTTCCCACATCAAACAAATCAACATGGCAGCCAAAACAGTAAATGTGTATCACTGCATTCAGGATTTAAGGAGCATTAGATGCTTTTGGGGAACTACATATTTTGAAAAAGGTGAAGGGTTGGTTTGGAGTTTTGGATTTAGCCGATTATATTGTCTTTCCTCCATCTTTCCTGGCCAAACAAGTGCCTCAGCCTAAAGAAGAGAAATCAAGCTTTTCTGTCTGCTTCAAACTGAATAGTCTGCAGCCAGAGTATTTTGTATCTATTGTCAAAGTTCCCTTCTACTGCTTCCCAAGGTTTCTTTTATATCTCCCCAGCAACAAAATATCCCAGTTCAGAAATACTGGTAAGTTATTGGAATCTCTAAAAAAAATGGTTTTGGAGAGCCCCAAAAGCCAGAGGGTTTTATAGTCTTGAGGCCATGAAAATAGGCCAAATAATAATAATAATAGGGGGCCACACACTGATCTCATGTTTGGACAGTCCAGAAAGCATTTTAGAACAAGCATACTGAGGCTTAATGTAATAAGAGGGGCTGTAGTCAGGTTTGCAGAGTTTATTGGAAAGTTGGAAAGTGATTTTAGGGGCTCCCTACATGGTTCTCAAAACGTCTCCAGAAGGTTCTTCAGAAAGTTGTCCAGAAGGTTCTTCAGATGTTCCTACATAGTGATGAGGTTGTCCCTTGCTACAGTTATCTCCTTATTTCCTGCACTTTGAGACAAACTGTCAGCAGACAGGACGACCGGTGTACCATCGTTAATCTGTCATTTGTGTGTAGCTTTGTTTTGTATTTATTATAACATGAACTTTTCCCTTTGTTGTAGCGTACCTACACGGCACGCCAAACGTCTGTAAATGCTTTTTTTTCACAGTCATGATTTACGATGTTAATTTTTTTGATGAAAGCTATTTAAAACCTAATATATTTGCCTTAGGATACCAGGCATGGTACCGACTGACAGCTGGTCAAACAGCAGTTTATATAACATTTATACACTAAAGATGATGTGTCCTTCTTAATACTTTCACCACTGTTGCCGACATTTCTTATGGTTTTGCATTATAACAATTGTGGTCAAATCTTCTATGTCTGGTTGTGTGATAATCCTGCTTTCAGATCAGTGAAATTAACTGTTTCTCTACATACTGACACCTAATGTAAGCAAAAAGACCTCTTGGTTCGAATGCCTTGGACATACATGTGGATTGTTCCTACTTTTTTTTTTGTGTCAATATCAAAATATGTTTGTGGACATTCATAAAATCTGCAACAATAAAGTCAATGAAAGACTGTCAAGACCTACATTATAGGTCAACTGGATGTCAAACCAACCTAACGTAGCCTGGTTTTAGCCAGTTTGATGCCTTTTTACCAACACAATGTTCATATATCTTTCTATAACAATTTATCTTATATAGCTTCCATTAACAGTCCATTTTTCTTTTTCATACAGGTCTCTCAAATAAGACTTGGATGTTTCAGATAGATATCTTTGTGTCTCCTACAGAGATCAGTTCAGTTTGTGGTTAGCTTAGCTTAGCTATACAACAGTTGGCTCAATCATAATATTAGGTGTTTTGTTAGGTGTTTACATAGCTACATGGGTTGGTGAAAATATAAACCAACATAACTTCAGCTGCCTACAACAGCTAGCATATGTTATGATAGCTGTTTCTAGCTAACGAGTGCATACCAGAGTGTCCTTAGCCTAGAGGAGCTCAAACACTTATAGCAGGGGGAAATTGTTAGCCTAGCTTCATCAAAAGAGAAGGAATCTATCTTATGATTTACATATTGTTTATTAAAAGGTTTAAAAATGTGGAATGTAGACACTGTGTTTTAAGCAACAGTTAGCATTGAAGCTATTGTTAAATCTATTTGTTGAAATGTTATCTATCTGTGAGCTACTTTTTTAGCTAGCAAGCTAACATGTGCAATCTCTAACTGACAGTTTAAGGATTAGCATGGAAGTAAGGGATAGGAGGTATTTGAAATATAATTTAACAGTCAAATTAAAGTGTATGATGAATTTAAATTAACATCAGCTAGCTTTAAGCTACATGCTGTTTTTGTTGTAGGCTAAGTGACATGACTTTAATGCTTGGCGGTCCCATTGTATTTTTTGGTTTAATAACTACACTTTATGTCACTTTAAAATGTCTTGTTAGGGTGCCATAAGCTTGGGAACAAAGGTCCATGGGGCATAAATACACTCTGATATAACTAAGCTAACAGTTCCCCTCTGCTTCCAGTCTTTGTGCTAAGCTAGGCTAAACATGCATAAATAAAACTGATATCCGTCTTCTCATCTGACTCTCGGAATGGCAGCAAAAAACAAAATGCCACAGCTTTACATATAAAACTAGCAACAAGCCCATGCTAAGTTGCTTAAAGCTCTTTCAAGTCATTGTTCACGTCTATTTTGGTCCAGAGGTTACATGTTCCAGATATAAACAACTTCAACAAAGCTTTAAAAAGCCACAGAAAGCTTCTTTCCAGCTGTCATGTCCTGTCTCTTTGTTGTGAGCTATTTTGAGCTTTTTATGACTTGTGGATTTTATCTGTAAAAACTTTATATTTAAACCTTAACAGCCAAAAACCTTCAACCAAAAGTGAAACTTCACAGTCCTTGTGAGCTGTTACACACTGATACTCCTGTAAATGACCATATATGCAACTGTAAATGACTATTACGGATGTGAGTGTTTATATAATTTCTCTGTATGCCAATACCGGTGCTTAATCTTTTTATGCTTCATTAAATGTGGACTTTGACATTAACGTGGCTTTGATCTGGGTTCATCTGTTTCCTCTGACCTCAAATCCTGAATCCTGACAGCCTGCCGCTCTGAGGGTTTTCTCCATCCAGTAATAACCCGTCTCCCTGCTGCTCAGCCCGATCACAAGATATTTGTGTTTGTGTGTTAAGCTGCTTCACGTTCTCCTGAGCGTGACCCCGGTGTGAAATCGTTTTATCTGCATATTTCTGATTTCACTACTATTTATCCACACCAGCAGCGAGGCTAAACAAGCCTGAGAGTCTAGCTAACATGAATGCTGAGGTGTACCATGTTAGTTTTAGTTTTAATCATTTGTTTGTCTCATTGATATCTGTTCAGAACATATACAATATGTGATAGAAAACATCCACAAAGCTGTTGTTATACATTTAAAAACAACAATTACTCCAAAACATGTTTTAATCTTCAAAATAAATTTACCAACACATTAAAATCATTCAAAGCAAGTCATGTGGTACAAACGCATGGTAGTATCTTGTATCTTTTATTTGGTTAAGGCCTGTTGTCTTTATTACATCTCTATTTCTGTATTTGTCTCTCTTCTCTTTTCTCTTGTATCCTGTCTCCCATTGAGATGTGTTGTCTCTGGTTGCATCTTGTTGACTCTGGTTGCATCTTGTTGACTCTGGTTGCGTCTTGTTGACCCTGGTTGCATCTTGTTGACCCTGGTTGCATCTTGTTGACTCTGGTTGCGTCTTGTTGACCCTGGTTGCATCTTGTTGACCCTGGTTGCGTGTTGTTGACTCTGGTTGCATCTTGTTGACCCTGGTTGCGTCTTGTTGACTCTGGTTGCGTCTTGTTGACCCTGGTTGCATCTTGTTGACCCTGGTTGCATCTTGTTGACCCTGGTTGTGTCTTGTTGACTCTGGTTGCATCTTGTTGACCCTGGTTGCGTCTTGTTGACCCTGGTTGCATCTTGTTGACCCTGGTTGCATCTTGTTGACCCTGGTTGCGTCTTGTTGACTCTGGTTGCATCTTGTTAACTCTGGTTGCATCTTGTTGACCCTGGTTGCATCTTGTTGACCCTGGTTGCGTCTTGTTGACTCTGGTTGCGTCTTGTTGACTCTGGTTGCATCTTGTTGACCCTGGTTGCGTCTTATTGACTCTGGTTGCGTCTTGTTGACCCTGGTTGCATCTTGTTGACTCTGGTTGCATCTTGTTGACCCTGGTTGCGTCTTGTTGACTCTGGTTGCGTCTTGTTGACTCTGGTTGCATCTTGTTGACTCTGGTTGCATCTTGTTGACCCTGGTTGCATCTTGTTGACCCTGGTTGAGTCTTGTTGACTCTGGTTGCATCTTGTTGACTCTGGTTGCATCTTGTTGACCCTGGTTGCGTCTTATTGACTCTGGTTGCATCTTGTTGACTCTGGTTGCATCTTGTTGACCCTAGTTGCGTCTTGTTGACTCTGGTTGCGTCTTGTTGACTCTGGTTGCATCTTGTTGACTCTGGTTGCATCTTGTTGACCCTGGTTGCATCTTGTTGACTCTGGTTGCGTCTTGTTGACTCTGGTTGCATCTTGTTGACTCTGGTTGCATCTTGTTGACCCTGGTTGCATCTTGTTGACCCTGGTTGCGTCTTGTTAACTCTGGTTGCATCTTGTTGATTCTGGTTGCATCTTGTTGACCCTGGTTGCGTCTTGTTGACTCTGGTTGCGTCTTGTTGACTGTGGTTGCATCTTGTTAACTCTGGTTGCATCTTGTTGACCCTGGTTGCGTCTTGTTGACTCTGGTTGCGTCTTGTTGACTCTGGTTGCATCTTGTTGACCCTGGTTGTGTCTTGTTGACTCTGGTTGCATCTTGTTGACTCTGGTTGCATCTTGTTGACTCTGGTTGGGTTGCGTCTTGTTGACTCTGGTTGCATCTTGTTGACTCTGGTTGCATCTTGTTGACTCTGGTTGCATCTTGTTGACTCTGGTTGCGTCTTGTTGACTCTGGTTGCATCTTGTTGACTCTGGTTGCGTCTTGTTGACTCTGGTTGCATCTTGTTGACTCTGGTTGCATCTTGTTAACCCTGGTTGCGTCTTGTTGACTCTGGTTGCATCTTGTTGACTCTGGTTGCATCTTGTTGACCCTGGTTGCATCTTGTTAACCCTGGTTGCGTCTTGTTGACTCTGGTTGCGTCTTGTTGACTCTGGTTGCATCTTGTTGACTCTGGTTGCATCTTGTTAACCCTGGTTGCGTCTTGTTGACTCTGGTTGCATCTTGTTGACTCTGGTTGCATCTTGTTGACCCTGGTTGCATCTTGTTGACTCTGGTTGCATCTTGTTGACCCTGGTTGCGTCTTGTTAACCCTGGTTGCATCTTGTTGACTCTGGTTGCGTCTTGTTGACTCTGGTTGCATCTTGTTGACTCTGGTTGCGTCTTGTTGACTCTGGTTGCATCTTGTTGACCCTGGTTGCATCTTGTTGACTCTGGTTGTGTCTTGTTGACTCTGGTTGCATCTTGTTAACCCTGGTTGCATCTTGTTGACTCTGGTTGCATCTTGTTGACTCTGGTTGCATCTTGTTGACCCTGGTTGCATCTTGTTAACCCTGGTTGCGTCTTGTTGACTCTGGTTGCATCTTGTTGACTCTGGTTGCATCTTGTTGACTCTGGTTGCGTCTTGTTGACTCTGGTTACATCTTGTTGACTCTGGTTGCATCTTGTTGACCCTGGTTGCATCTTGTTGACTCTGGTTGCATCTTGTTGACCCTGGTTGCGTCTTGTTAACCCTGGTTGCATCTTGTTGACTCTGGTTGCGTCTTGTTGACTCTGGTTGCGTCTTGTTGACTCTGGTTGCGTCTTGTTGACTCTGGTTGCATCTTGTTGACCCTGGTTGCATCTTGTTGACTCTGGTTGCGTCTTGTTGACTCTGGTTGCGTCTTGTTGACTCTGGTTGCATCTTGTTGACCCTGGTTGCATCTTGTTGACTCTGGTTGCGTCTTGTTGACTCTGGTTGCATCTTGTTGACTCTGGTTGCATCTTGTTGACTCTGGTTGCATCTTGTTGACTCTGGTTGCGTCTTGTTGACTCTGGTTGCATCTTGTTGACTCTGGTTGCGTCTTGTTGACTCTGGTTGCATCTTGTTGACTCTGGTTGCGTCTTGTTGACTCTGGTTGCATCTTGTTAACCCTGGTTGCGTCTTGTTGACTCTGGTTGCATCTTGTTGACTCTGGTTGCATCTTGTTGACTCTGGTTGCGTCTTGTTGACTCTGGTTGCATCTTGTTGACTCTGGTTGCATCTTGTTGACCCTGGTTGCATCTTGTTGACTCTGGTTGCATCTTGTTGACCCTGGTTGCGTCTTGTTAACCCTGGTTGCATCTTGTTGACTCTGGTTGCGTCTTGTTGACTCTGGTTGCATCTTGTTGACTCTGGTTCCGTCTTGTTGACTCTGGTTGCGTCTTGTTGACTCTGGTTGCCTCTTGTTGACTCTGGTTGCATCTTGTTGACCCTGGTTGCATCTTGTTGACTCTGGTTGCGTCTTGTTGACTCTGGTTGCGTCTTGTTGACTCTGGTTGCATCTTGTTGACCCTGGTTGCATCTTGTTGACTCTGGTTGAGTCTTGTTGACTCTGGTTGCATCTTGTTGACCCTGGTTGCGTCTTGTTGACCCTGGTTGCATCTTGTTAACTCTGGTTGCATCTTGTTAACCCTGGTTGCGTCTTGTTGACTCTGGTTGCATCTTGTTGACTCTGGTTGCATCTGGTTGACCCTGGTTGCATCTTGTTGACTCTGGTTGCATCTTGTTGACTCTGGTTGCGTCTTGTTGACTCTGGTTGCATCTTGTTGACCCTGGTTGCATCTTGTTGACCCTGGTTGCATCTTGTTGACTCTGGTTGCATCTTGTTGACTCTGGTTGCATCTTGTTGACTCTGGTTGAATCTTGTTGACTCTGGTTGCATCTTGTTGATTCTGGTTGTGTCTTGTTGACTCTGGTTGAATCTTGTTGACTCTGGTTGCGTCTTGTGGACCCTGGTTGCATCTTGTTGACTCTGGTTGCATCTTGTTGACCCTGGTTGCATCTTGTTGACTCTGGTTGCATCTTGTTGACTCTGGTTGCATCTTGTTGACTCTGGTTGCATCTTGTTGACTCTGGTTGAATCTTGTTGACTCTGGTGGCATCTTGTTGATTCTGGTTGCGTCTTGTTGACTCTGGTGGAATCTTGTTGACTCTGGTTGCGTCTTGTTGACCCTGGTTGCATCTTGTTGACCCTGGTTGCATCTTGTTGACTCTGGTTGCATCTTGTTGACTCTCGTTGCATCTTGTTGACCCTGGTTGCATCTTGTTGACTCTGGTTGCATCTTGTTGACTCTGGTTGCATCTTGTTGACCCTGGTTGCGTCTTGTTGACTCTGGTTGCATCTTGTTGACCCTGGTTGCATCTTGTTGACTCTGGTTGCATCTTGTTGACTCTGGTTGCATCTTGTTGACTCTGGTTGCATCTTGTTGACCCTGGTTGCGTCTTGTTGACTCTGGTTGCATCTTATTGACTCTGGTTGCATCTTGTTGACTCTGGTTGCATCTTGTTGACCCTAGTTGCGTCTTGTTGACTCTGGTTGCGTCTTGTTGACTCTGGTTGCATCTTGTTGACTCTGGTTGCATCTTGTTGACCCTGGTTGCATCTTGTTGACTCTGGTTGCGTCTTGTTGACTCTGGTTGCATCTTGTTGACTCTGGTTGCATCTTGTTGACCCTGGTTGCATCTTGTTGACCCTGGTTGCGTCTTGTTAACTCTGGTTGCATCTTGTTGATTCTGGTTGCATCTTGTTGACCCTGGTTGCGTCTTGTTGACTCTGGTTGCGTCTTGTTGACTGTGGTTGCATCTTGTTAACTCTGGTTGCATCTTGTTGACCCTGGTTGCGTCTTGTTGACTCTGGTTGCGTCTTGTTGACTCTGGTTGCATCTTGTTGACCCTGGTTGTGTCTTGTTGACTCTGGTTGCATCTTGTTGACTCTGGTTGCATCTTGTTGACTCTGGTTGGGTTGCGTCTTGTTGACTCTGGT